TAGTGATAGATGGATGAACACTAAAATAGAAATAGTGTAAAACATTGAAAGTGAGGAAATTATACATATTAAATATATGTCTGGACAATAAGAATGATTACGAAGGACAGTCCCAGGATGTGTGAAAAAAGATGTGCCTGTGCAGTTGAGAGTCAGCCAAAGGTGAAGAAATATGCATGTCTGAAATGGTTTCAGCAGAGGATCATCTCTAAAATGGGATGCCTATTTAGTCAAAGGTTTGAAATTCGGGTTAAAGTTGTAGTTCAAGAACTTAAAGGCTGAGCATGGTGAGTGAAAGTGGTGCTGTGGAAACTTATCAAAAGCCACAGATGCACCATGGGTTCAAGGCCTTTTCTAATCTGCAGGTGAAACTCTGGTGTGGATTCCTTAGCTGCCAGAGGTTGCCTCCCTTCTGTTGGTGGAGATTGTGGCAGGGAGGGGTTGCCTGCCTCAGTAAATGTTCATTGTAAACAAAACAGGACACTTATTTTTTTTAATGCCAAAAACATACCAGCTCGGAGGAAATACAGACACCATAAACCTAAATTTCACTCATGGTTTTGGACTTTTAGACTAACGGATTTCTTTTAGACTAACGGCTTTAACAGCCTTTTGGAATTTGTCCTGCTTGTAAGTAGAGCTGCCTCCATGTAGTTTATATTCTGAAAACCCTACTGGTCATTAAATTGAATGATACAAAAAAAGAAGGATCAAATGTTTGCTAGGACCAAATAGCCCCTCAGGGTGAACTTTACAGTTGCTGGTAGAGTAACTGTTTCGGAATGTAGTGTACTGTGGCTCGCCCATGAAGCTGGCCTTGGTGTTGGTGTGTGGGCTCTGCCTTTGTAAGATCGGCTTCTCACTATCCAGGTTGGATTTCGGGGGTGACACCCCCGCCACCCTTTTCTTCAGCTTTTAGCACTGAAGCCATTGTATAGTCTTCTTTTTTTTGTGGTTCAATATCTAATTTTAAAATTATTGTGTATTTTTTGTAAATTTTGTCTTTGATGTAGCCAGATACATTAAAAATTAGTGAGTCTCTGTCTTTGTTGAAAATCTATTATTTAATATAGGAAACGTGGTCCATTTATTTTATGTTTTAAATTATACAGTTTATCTTTTGTCTGGATGAAGGTTGACACTGTCTACAAGAGCTGCTGCTGGAGTTGGTGATTGGCACTGTTCCCACTTCTGCATTCAGATGAGCAGCCAACATGTATTTTAAATTAATCCCCAAAGTATTATTTGTACAATAAAAATTTTAAATATATCTTTCCAATTTAAATGTTTGTCACATCATTATATTTACTGTATTTCTAGGCTCTGCACTCTTGTCAAAGTGAAGTGTCCTGAATTGTTTTAGCCTTTTCTATAAGTCTGTTTTGGCCAGAGTATCCCGTTTTAAGGAAGTAGCAAGATTTTTTTAAGGCACAGGGCCTATATTTAGGCCCTCACTGTTGACCATTTTAGTTTCCATGGCTAGGCTAACTAAGTCATCAGCATGTTGTATTCTGCCAGCAATGTTTATATCAGTGACATGTTTTGTTTGTTCTTTTTAAGTCTCATTCTTATTAAAATAGGTCACTTAGCTGATTTACTTTATTTTTTCCTAAATGTGCAAGAATTACAAAGGCTGGCTTCTTGTTAAATAACGCATGCTTGGTTGACTGTTTTATTAAAAAAAGCCGTGAAGTTGTTCCTAAAAAGAGTGAATAAAGATCCAGCATAGCAAGTAGATGATACTCAAGGAGTTACTAAGAATAAGTGTGTACAAACTAGAAAATGCACTGAATATGTGTTGCTTGTGCTTGCCAAAGTTTAGTTTCTACTACATTTAGAACTCTGACTCTGCAAGCTTTCGGTTTGTTCATGAATCACAGAGGTAGAAAGAAAATGATTAAAGGCAAAACTAACATCACTCATCAGAGGGCAGGAAGTAAATGTGACTTCTTAGGTTGCGAGCAGATTGTATTAGCAGTCAACAGTAGGGTTTACAGTGTGCCCAAGTTTGTGTAAGGTACAATAATAATAATGATAATGATAAAATTGTACTATTTGGTGGTGGTAGAAATAATAATAACTAATATTTACATAGTATTTACTGTATTCTAAGGTATTGTTCTAAGAGCTTTACATGTATTAACTCATGTAATTTCCCCAGTGACCATCTGAGGTAGGTGCTACTGTTATCCTCTCATAACTCACTTAATCCCCATAGTAACCCCATAAAGTAGACCATGTTATTAAGCCCATTTTACAAATGAAGAAACAAGGTTAAGTAACTTATTCAAGGTCATGCAACTAGTAGTAGAGCTGGAGTTCAGAATCCATGTTCTTAACCACTCTGGTAGGCTCAATAATGGCCTCCTCCCAACCTCACTGGGTGGGGGTGGGCAAATCTTTACTGGTTTGATGCGCTTTCGTTCCATTGCCCTTTCAGTGGTTAATTTGGGAATGGCAGTTTGGACAATAAGATAGCACGTGGGGAAGAATTTAATTGCACACAGTAGACTGATCTTGGATGTGAAAATGAATTTTTGACAACTGGAATTAAAATCAAAGTACCTAAACAAATACTTTTGAGCTTTACTTCATGTTGCACTGGCTAGTACAGATTGCTATGTTGGCAAACATGTTTCAAGAGAATAATTATTTATATAAAATAGAATTTTAAAAATTTATAAGAATTTTCTGAATTCAAATATAGGAAAATTTTTATGTCAACATAAAATTATAAACTTTTCTGGGAAGGAATGTTGTTTATTATGTGTTTTTCCTTATACATTTTTTTTCATTTATGAAGTATAAAAACAGCAACCCTATGCCAATAACCACAGAAGTTTTTGAAATTTTACTTGTCCACGGAAATCCATGAAAGCCTGGATGTTGCAAATCTTGTTGTATACTCACTAAACTCCATTCTTACCATCTTGCTTCCTGATCACTTACAGCCTGACTTTGGGCCTAATCTCTTGATTGAACTGGTTTCTAGAAGGTTACTGTTGATTTTATGGTCTCTCTATACCACCTTTTTTAAACCAAAGATCTTTTTTGACTTTTCTGTAATGTTTAATTCTGTTGCCCATTCTGTCTCTGAAATTCTCTTCCCTAGTAGTTGCTGACAGTGTGTCTCTGTGCTACCTCAGTGACCATTTTCAGTCTCCTTTAGTGCTTTTATTTTGGTCTTTTCTATTTCTTGATGGTGACTCTTGTAAAAAAAAAACACATCATGTTTATAATGCCTGTAAATAGTAGGCATGAGAATGAATTAGCCATAAATAGAAGCTGCATGTTGCTAAGTAGACACTATTTAGTAGAGACTGTCTTTTGATATAAAGCTAAGTTTATAATTAATATTGAAGTTTTTTTGATTGCAACAATTGGGTTTTTTTAAATACACACATATATTTAATGCATTATATTCCTTTGTATATACCATTATTAAACTATTTATTTATGGATATCTTGATTCCAGTTGTGTACGTATGCTTTTTTTTTTTTTAATTATTATTTTTTTTTTTGTACGTATGCTTTAAAAAAAGAAAATACTGTATGGGCATCCTTATGCCTACATCTTGGCATACTCTGTGAGTATCTCCATCATATAAATTCCTAATGGTAGAATTGTTAAATTATGGTGTATATGCATTGAAAACTTTGGTAGGCATTGCCAAATAGCCTTTCTAAAAGCTTGTATCAATTTGCACTTTTATCAACAGTATAAGTACCACTTTCTCCGTACCCCTCCAACAATGAATATAATAAAACTTAATGTTTGCTGATCTAATGGATTAAAAATATTTTCTTTACATTTTTATTTATTTTAATTATAAGTGAGGTTGAGCATCCTTTATATCAGTAGTTTTCAACAGGGGGCAACTTTGCCCCCCGCAGGGGACATTTGATACTGTCTGGAAACATTTGGGGGCTGTTAAAACTGGGAGAGTGTCTGGGAAGAGGGTTCTACTGGCATGCTGCTAAACATCTTACAATGCACACAACAAAGTATTATTTTCCAGACCCAAATATCAGTAGTGTCAGGGTTGAGAAACCCTGTTTTATATTATTCCGTTTCATCTTCTTTGTTGGTTTATATCTGTAATTTCTGAGTTATTTTATTGTTTGCTTTAGAGTTTATAGTATACATTTTTAATTTATCACAGTTCCCCTTTGAGTGATATTTTACTATTTCATGTATGGTATAAACACCTTGCTATAGTATATTTCCATTTTTCTCCTCCTGGCCTTTGTGCTATTATTTTAATATGTTTTACTTCTGTGTATGTTATAGACCCCACAATATATTATTATTATTTTACTTTAAACAGTAGATTATCTTTAAATTTTTAAAACAGTTTTAATGAATTACAATTTACATTAGATTGCACATATTTCAAATATACAATTTGATAAGTTTTGACATATGTATATACTTGTGAAACCATTGTCACAATCAAAATAATGAACATATTTATCATCCCCCAAACTTTCCTCCTGCCCCTTGGTCATCCCTCCCCAACCCCAGGCAACCACTGATCTGCTTTCTGTCACTATAGATAAGTTTACATTTTCTAGAATTTTATATAAATGGAATCATAAACTATGTGCTTTTTTTGTCTGACCCTTTCATCCAGTATATTATTTCTAGATTTATCCATGTGGTGTGTGTATCATTAGGAAAACATTCTTTTTTTTTTTTTTTTTTTTTGCGTTACGCGGACCTCTCACTGTTGTGGCCTCTCCCGTTGCGGAGCACAGGCTCCGGACGCGCAGGCTCAGCGGCCATGGCTTACGGGCCCAGCCGCTCCGCGGCATGTGGGATCTTCCCGGACCGGGGCACGAACCCATGTCCCCTGCATCGGCAGGCGGACCCTCAACCACTGCGCCACCAGGGAAGCCCTAGGAAAACATTCTTAATGACAGACGTTCTGGGTAATTGGACTGCTGTTATTAATGAGCATGCTGAATTCTAAAGTCACTTGATGTGTTCTTTGTTTTAGGTCATGACCATCCAAGGAGTGATAATCACATGAGAGCACTCATTGCTCCAGATGTCATTTGACCATCAAAAAAAAAAATCTGTTTAAAAGAAAATATCCATTTGACCAGAACCTTTCTTTATTGAATGGCTTGATGGATTTCCTTTACTCTGATTCAAACCAAAACTGTCCTGCTCAACCAAAACAAGAAAGGACCTTGCATGAGTCAATCCCAGAATGCCACTTCTATATCACCGATGGGTGAAGAAAACCTCATGAATATCAATCACAGAGACTCAGAGAGCATCACTGGTGAGTCCAGTTTAATAAATGAAGTGCTGTTGCTTACAGGATAAAATGCGTATAAGACCCACCATGATGGAACTCAGCCTCTCTTTCCAGCCTGGTCTCCTCAGAGACCACTGAATTAGTCTCTCCATCCCCAGGTCTCCTATCGCATTATCAAAATTTGCCTTGGGTGCTGTTCCTTGTCTGCATCTGACTCCCTGTACCGTGTGAGCCCTGGTCAGTAGGAACTGCGTCACACTCATCTCCCTTATCTTGTCTTCCTATTCCTATCTTCCTGTCTCCGCAAGAACAGGGTTGCTTGTGTTTCTGTGCCCTGCAGTCACCTAACAACAGTATCTGGCACATAAGAGGCTCTCAGGACATATAGGGTATGCAAAAACAGGTACAGCCCCATAAGTCCTTATCTGCAAGACTAAATTTTAAAAACTCTGTACACCCAAAATTTTTTCTAAACTTTGGTTCTAAAACTCACTGGTCCACAAAACCTGACCTGTCCAGTTGTTTCTAGACATCTCACTTAGTTGGAATACTTGTTTGCTGAAATTGTATTAATGTGTTTAAATATGGGATACTGCTACAAAACCAGTTGGAGGTGTTATATAACATACAGTATGCACAGTACTACTTTTCTAAAACTCCATAAAATTCTGCAACCCATCTAAACCTAAAGTTTTTCCCATTTTTTGTTCAGTTTTGTTGAGATACCTGCATTAAGATACTATAAAATGCACCCATTTTAAGTGTACAGTTTGGTTCAGTATGGCCTGTGGGCCATAGTTTGCTGACGTCTGCACAACAGCATCAACACTTGATAATGTCAGTGTTTTTGATTTTAACCATTCTAGTAGGTGTGTACTGGTACCTCTGTGTGGTTTCACTTTCTTTTTCCCTGATGACTAATGATGTTCAGTGTCTTTTCATGTGTTTATTGGCTATTTCTAGATATTTTGAGTTGTCTATTTAAATCATTTGCCCATTTTTATATCTGTCTTACTACTGAATTGTGGTAAATATTCTTTTTATATTCTGTGTAAATCCTTTGTTAGGTAAAGGGGTGCAAATATTTTCTCCCAGACCATGGCTCGCCTTTTCATCTTCTTAATGGTGTCTTTTGAAGAGCAAAAGTTTAAAATTTTGGTGGAGCCCAGTTTATCAATTTTTGCTTTTATAGTTCATATTTTTTGTGTCATTTCTAAGAAATCTTTGCATACTTCAAGATCACAAAGACATTCTTCTTTTCTTTGAAGAGTTTTATAATTTTTGCTTTTACATTTAGGTCAATTTTATAATTAATTTTGAATATATAATGAAGTTAGGGTCCAGATTTCTTTTTCCCAGTTGAATGTTTAATTGTTCCTGCACCATTTGTTGAAAATATTATCTTTTACACTACTGAATTACCTTGGTAATTTCATTGAAAAATCATTTGATTATGTATGTGTGGATCTATTCCTGGACTCTCCATTCTGTTTCTTTAATCCCTAGGTCTATCTTTACATAAATACCACAGTGTTTTGATTACTTTAACTCTGTAGTAAATCTTGAAATCAGGTAGTATAATTTCTCGAAGTTTGCTCTTCTTTTTAAAAAATCATTTTGGCCATTCTAGACCTTTCACATTTCTATATAAATTTTAAAAACAGCTTGTCAATTTCTGCCAACAAAGATTAATGGAATTTTGAATGGAATTATATAGACTTTGTAGAGAATTGACATCTTAAGACTATTGAGTCTTCTAATCCGTGAACATGATATATCTCTCCATTTATTTAGGTCTTCTTTAATTTCTCTTAATAGTATTTGTAGTTTTTATTACACAGGTCTTCCACATATTTTATTAAATTTAATCCTAAATTTTTAATTTTTTTCTGCTACTATAAATGACATTGTTTATTTAATTTTATTTTCCAGCTGTTTATTACTAGTATGTAGAAATGAAGTTGATTCTTTATATATTGACTTTGTATTCTGCAACTTTGCTTAACTTAGTTTTATTAACTTTCTTGTAAATTCCTTAGCATTCGCTACATAAACCATAATGTCTGCAAATGGAGACAGTTTTACATATTCCTTTTCAATCTAGATGTGTTTTATTTCTTTTTCTTGCCCTTTGAATGGGACAGGATTTCAGTATATTTTTGAATAAAAGTGGTGGGAGCAAACATCCTTGCCAAATTTCCAATATTAGGAGAGAAGTTACGGTCTTTCACCAGAAGTTTTTTGAGAATGCCCTTTTTCAAATTGAGAAAGTGTCCTTCTCTTCCTAGTTCGATGACAGGTTTTTGTCATGAATGGGTATTGAATTTTGTCAAATACCTATTTTCCATTACTGAGATGGTTTTTCTTTTTTAGTCCATTGGTGTGGTGAATTCTATTGATTTATTTTTTCATTTTAAACCAGCTTTGCATTCCTGGGGAAAACTCTACTTGGTCATGATGTATTATCATTCTTATATATTGTGGATTTGATATACTAATGTTTTGTGTGTGTGTGTGTGTGTGTGTTTCCCATTCATTGGTTTGTACTCCTTTTTTTGCAATGTCTTTGCTTGATTTTGGTATTAGGGCAATGCTGGCCTCATAAAATGAGTTGTGAAGTATTCCCTTCTCTATATTTGAAAGAGTTTTTTGTAGAATTGGTATGATAACATTTTCCATCCTTTTACTTTTAACTTACCTGAATATTCAAGGGACATCTCCTATAGATAGTTTAAAGTCAGATCTTTTTTTCATCTAGTCTGACAATCTCTACTTTCTAATTGGTATGTTTAGACCATTTACATTTAATATAATTATCAGTTTAGTTGAGTCTACTGAACTCCTACTTGTTTTCTCTTTGTTCCATTTAAAAGTTCTTTCTTCCTTTTTTCCCCTCATTCCTTTCCTCTTTTGAGTTGTTCGTTTGCTGGTTTGTTTTTTTTAGGATTCCATTTTAATTCCACTATTGACCTAAGAGCTATACCTCTCTTTTTTCTCAATGGTTGCTCTGAGTTTGCAATATGCATTTTTAAATTTATCACAGTCTATCTTCAGATAACATTATACTATTTCATAAAGTGACACACAGGATTCTTCCATTTCCCCCTGCCATTGTATTATTCTTGCCATGCCTTTTATATTTACATATGTTATATACATAATTGTTATTATTTTTGCTTTAAACAATTATAAGTTAAATACATTATGAGAATAAAAGGCTTATATATTTCCACACAGATTTACCATTTCTGTCACTCTTTATTTCTTTTTGTAGATTGAACTTTCCATCTTATATCCTTTCTGCCTGAAGAACTTCAACATTTCTTGGAATATGGGTCAGCTGGCAATGACTAGTCAAAGTTTTTTGCTTGTCTGAAAAGTCTTTATTTCACCATTTTTAAAAGGTGTTTTCACTGGTGCAGAATTCTAAGTTGACTTTTTTATACACTTTAATGACATTCCATTGTCATCTACCTTACACTGCTTCTGATGAGATCATTTTTGTCTTTGTTCCCTCAAATGTAATGTGTCTTTTTTTCTCTCTCTGCTTTTAAGATTTTCTCTTTGGGTTTCTTTGTGTTTATCCTGCTTAGAGTCACTGAACTTCATTGAAATATGGATTTATAGTTTTGATTAAATTTGGAAGATTTTGACTGTTATTTCTTCAAATATCCTTGCTGCTCCCTCTTCTCTCCTCTTCTGTGACTCCAGTTGCATGTGTGTTAGACTGATTGTTATTGTGATGCAAGTCACTGATGCTCTGGTTTTTTTCCTAATCTTTTTTCACTTTAGTTTCCGTTGCTATGCCTTCAAGTCTACTGTTCTTTTCTTCTGGATAGTATCTAATATGTTAATGTTATCCAGTGAATTTTTAAATTTAGATATTGTACTCTAGTTCTATTTGAATTTTATAAATATAGGAATACTTTCTGTTTCTCTTTTCATCAAATTCATGTTTTCCTTTTAAATCTTTGAGCATATTAATAATGGCTATTTTGAAATTGCTGTTTACCACTTTTATCATCTTTGTCTTTACTCGGCTTGTTTCTATTGATTTATTTTCCAACTGGTAATGGGTTACAAATTGCTTATTCTTTGAATATCTAGTAATTTTTTATCAAATGCTGAATATTTTGAATGTTATATTGTTTGATGTTTGAATTTCCTTGTCTTATTTGAAAAACTGTTATTATTTTGGCAGGTCCTCAAGTTACTTGCTGATAATATCAGTTCTTTTTTTTTTTTTTTTTTGTGGTACGCAGGCCTTTCACTGTTGTAGCCTCTTCCATTGCGGAGCACAGGCTCCGGATGCGCAGGCTCAGCGGCCATGACTCATGGGCCCAGCCGCTCTGCGGCATGTGGGATCCTCCCGGACTGGGGCACGAACCGTGTCCCCTGCATCGGCAGGCGGACTCTCAACCACTGCGCCATGAGGGAAGCCTGATATCAGTTCTTTTGAGGCTTGTTTTTAATCTTTGCTATCTAAGTCTCTATATCACAAGACCATACTCTAGTATGCTTTATTCTGCATTAATTTAACCCTACTACCAGTAGGCATGACACTTCTAGGATCTTTTGATTGTCCTAACTGTTCATGAGGTTTTTCTGCTCTGGCTAGATGAAATTCAGGCCTTTCTTCGCTTTGTGTAGGAGAGTAACTTAATAAAGATATGAAGATGTAGAGGAAAATATGAGTGTAATGAGGACAGACCACTTTTGAGGCCATATTCAAGAGAAACAAGAGGAGGCCTTGAACCTAAATGGAGGCAATGTGGCTAGAAAGAAGTGAGCATAAGGAAGGGACATTTGGAGGATAAAAATATTAAGACTGGACAATCAGGAAAGCAATAAATAGTACATTTATTAGATGAACCTAAATGGAGGCAATGTGGCTAGAAAGAAGTGAGCATAAGGAAGGGACATTTGGAGGATAAAAATATTAAGACTGGACAATCAGGAAAGCAATAAATAGTGCATTATCAAAAATATGGGGGCTTCCCTGGTGGTGCAGTGGTTGAGAATCTGCCTGCTAATTCAGGGGACACGGGTTCGAGCCCTGGTCTGGGAGGATCCCACATGGCGCGGAGCAACTAGGCCCATGAGCCACAAGTACTGAGCCTGCGCGTCTGGAGCCTGTGCTCCGCAACAAGAGAGGCTGCGATAGTGAGAGGCCCATGCACCGCGGTGAAGAGTGGCTCCCGCTTGCCACAACTAGAGAAAGCCCTCACACAGAATCGAAGACCCAACACAGCAAAAATAAATTAATTAATTAATAAACTCCTACCCCCAACATCTTCTTTTAAAAAATATATATATATATATATGGGAGCAAATAGGATTTGCTCCTAAGGATGTTATTTGAACCTACTAAACCTTGATTGTGTACTCACTTTTAAAATTATTTTTTTGAAGTAGGGAATTGGTAATCTTGAATTTTCACAGAATTTTATTATTGCTTATTAAAAGAAAATTTCTAGGGAATAGTAGTTCTTTTAATGAATGTTACTTTTTTCTTCATGTATTTATAGTCAACTTCTCTTCCTGCAGATTTATAATGACAATCTGTATGTGATATACTTGTGGCAGGAAAAATTTGAACAGTCGCATAGAATTCATAGTAATATTATTTGGATGTATTTTCAGAGCTCTTATTTAAGAGATCTGCTAAGGGTTGAGAGGAGCTTCTTTAGATCCATATTTAAGGTTTTAAATGTACCTCATCTCTGTGATTATATACCTCATCTTTGTGGTTATGAAGCCACTGCTTGTCCTTCTGGGTGAATAGGATTGTCTGACATTGTCAGTCTCCTTGTACTTGATTTGATTAATGTCAGCCTCCTCATTGTTAAGATCAAGTCGTTGAAATTTACTCTTTTAAGTTATGTTTTCTTAAAATTAACTTTGTCGTTCTTTGCCAGAGTTAGAACATGTTTTTTATGCCACCCCCAAAGGAAATACCAGATCTCTTTTAAAAATGAGAGGGTTGATATGACATCCTGTATTTTCTCTATTTTAAGCTGTAGTATTTTAAGCATATTAAAAGAGATAACTGTTTTTTTTTTTTTTTTTTGTAAACTGCTAAATTTGGGAGGTGTTAAATGATGGGCAGCATTTGGAACAAGAAGCCAGGAGCAAACACATGAAGGTGGAGAAGCCCAAGCGTGTTCAGAGAAATACAAGCAGGGAGAGTTAGAGGTGTTCAAGTGAGCGAGTAGTGATGTGAAAGGTATTCAAGACTTTAAATGTATCACATCTTCAGTAAGTGTTAATTTTTTTTATATCTAGCTTCTGTGAGAATGTGGTAAAATGTAATTTTTCCAGATTTTGAAGAATCCTCCCACAGAGTTCAATTCTGTTATTAAAGAACATGTCATTTTATTCCTTTTGAACTCCTTTTCTTCTGGTTGTTTTGTGTTGCCTTTTTTCCCCGAAGCATATAAGTTATTTGAGATCAGATCTCTTGTAAGCAGCACTAAATATATTGATAAGGAAGAAATAAGAAATTTTAAACTTTAAAAACATAGGTGTATTCCCTAAGCAATATATTTTTAGATAGGATACAATTAAAATTCATGGTAGTATTTTTACTATAGAAGTTCTCGTATTAAAGAAACCTAGAGAAAAGCCAACTTTAGTACCAGGATACAGTAATAAAAATCATCGGAGACATGGTATTGGCTAATGTTTCGTTGATTATCCTACTTTGACAAAACTAATTTCACCGATTTTTCTCTGTAGCCTAGAAAATTGAAATATATTGGATTCATTTACATGGAATCTCCTCTTTAGATGTGTGCTCCAATGAAGATATCCCTGAAGTTGAGCTGGTGAGCCTGCTAGAAGAACAGCTACCCCAGTATAAGCTAAGAGTGGACTCTCTCTTTCTATATGAAAATCAAGACTGGACTCAGTCCCCACGCCAGCAGCGACATGGATCTGATGCCCTCTCTCCAGTCCTTGCTGAAGAGACTTTCCGTTATATGAGTGAGTATTTCAGAGTTTGTCCATTGAACTAAAGATCATGAATATCTTGGTGTTGACTTTTAAAACATTTGACATCCCTAGCCATTGTTCTGTTTGTACCTACTTTAACTTGAACTGATTTAACAACATGAAGAGATGATTCTAATTGTGTTATGTCTGAATGCAGAAAGTTTATCATTTTTAAGACTCTGAGTGTCCAGGGTTGCAAGCATACTCAGAGGTTTCCATTTCTCTCATCTTTTACTTGATACTTTCTTCCAACTGTGGAGAAAAGGGAACTTAAAAAAAAAAAAGTAGTGAAAGTATTTAAAATTTAATATCCCTTTATATTTCACAGCATTTATTATCCTAATACTTTAATATGTTGAGCCATCAGCTTTTTGACTCTAATCTACCTTACTAAACTGACATAGTCACAGGAACTTGTCAAGTCATTAAGAAACGGAGTTCTTAGATACATAAGTAGCTTTAAAATGCCGAGGAGAAATACGTGCACACTCATAGTAATCTTCATCATTTACTTAAGGATTCAGAGAATATTTCAGTGAGAAAGTAAGCCAAATTTGTCCTGAAAATAAGTCTGTTTTACACCACACTCTTTAAAAATGACAAAATTAAATAGGACACCTTTTTTTTTTTTTTTTTTTTTTTTTTTTGCGGGTCTCTCACTGTTGTGGCCTCTCCCATTGCGGAGCACAGGCTCCGGACGCGCAGGCTCAGCGGCCATGGCTCACGGGCCCAGATGTTCCGCGGCATGTGGAATCTTCCTGGACTGGGGCATGAACCCGTGTCCCCTGCATTGGCAGGCGGACTCTCAGCCACTACGCCACCAGGGAAGCCCCGGTAATCATTAACTTTTAATGGTACTTTCCTATAACCAGATTACTTACTGCTCAGAAAAAGAATTGTAAACATTGTTTAAACTTGAATTAGGAACTCAAATAGAACTGTATTTCTGTCCTCAACAATTCTTATAATTAGCTGAATATTAAATTAAGGCCCTTAAGGTTTTCTTAACTTCATAGTTTGAGAAGTTACTTGCTTGAGATTTTCTCGAAAATGCTTTTTAAATGGAACACTATTTTATTTCCATTTCCCTTTGTTCCCTGAGTTTTTAGATTTGTGAGAAAATTTCAAACTGAAATTTCATTGGGATAAATTTAGTTTGTCATTATTCTGATAAAGCAGTGTAGAAAGTGCCCCTTAGTTTACATGTTCTTTGTCCTATATGCTGCTGGAGGGGACAGTGAGGGAGACTAGCTAGAAAGATGTCTTAGATCATGATTTAATGGAGTTACTTTTAGGATGAATTTTAAGTAAAAAGACTGGGAAATAAAAGGTAAACAGATTCTAAACTACTTGGTTTATAGGACTTTACATAAACAAACCATAGTGTTCAAGGGAGCAATTTAAAACTTGAGATTAATAGGATGTTACAAGATCCGTACTTCCAAGATCTGGAAAAGTGTCCTATTCCTTTCATCTAATGGTACTATTTTCACTTCAGCAATTTGAAAATTAAACTACATATGATACACCTAATATCATGAAGCATAGAAGCTAGGATCATCATCTGTTCACTGATACTTTATCTCTGTACTGTACTTTAATTTCACTGTTATTTTAAAGGTATCAATTCTTTGGGTTAACAGTTCACTCAAATATAAATAAACTTCATTATGAATTTCTATCTTGTGAATGTAAAAGATAAGTGATTTACTTTGTTTAGCAAATTGACCAAGATTTTAAAATCACGGGGACTTCTCTGGTGGCACAGTGGTTAAGGCTCCTCCTGCCAATGCAGGGGACAAGTGTTCGATCCCTGGTCCAGGAAGATCCCACATGCCATGGAGCAACTAGGCCCGTGCACCACAACTACTGAGCCCTCGTGCTGCAACTACTGAAGCCCGTGCACCTAGAGCCCGTGCTCTGCAACAAGAGAAGCCACCTCAATGAGGAGCCTGCACACCGCAACGAGGAGTAGCCCCCGCTCACCACAACTAGAGAAAGCCTGCGCACAGCAATGAAGATCCAACGCAGCCAAAAATAAATAAAAAATTTTTTTAAAAAAAAGAACTTTAAAAAGCATGATACAAACCATTCTCTTACCCTTTTCCACAGTTTTCTATCCCCTTGAGATGTCAAGATTTGTGGTTTAGAATAGTTACTACAGACCCCGGCAAGCCATCCTAGGGTTCAGCTCCTTGGTGCTGTTTCAGCCCCTTCTTATCCTGACTTACCTCACATGCCAGTAGATACTCATGCTCATTAAAATGAATTATAACAGCTAATAAAAAGAGGCGGCACAGGCAGAGGCACTTTCTCTCTTATATAACACAAAGAAATTGAAAGAGCCATGAGAAGAAAATAAAGAAATTTGGAAGGAAACATGGGCAAGGTTTTGGGATGGGAACCTATCTCACATGAATAAAAGGACACTGGTTGTTCTTTGAAGCCACTACCAAACCAGAAAGAGATTGCTCTCAAGTGTTTTATTTTAAAAGTAAACAATGGGTAGGTCCAAAAAAGTAATTCTCTCCTAGTCCCTGCCTTACACACACAAAGTTTAAGATACTCAAAGAATGTTTTGCGTGCAGGGTTTTCTTAATTTTATTAAGAGAGAGCCCCACAGTGACATGGGGCAAGCAGTGCGATCAGATCACACTGTGACAGAAAGTACCATTTATTTGTTCGTGTGAAGGCTAAAAATAGAAACCTGATCTGCCCTTCAGGGTATTTTTTATTTGGGAGTAAGGGATCACCTGTACCACTTCCTAATGCATAAGAAAAAGGGGGGTGGTTATATAAGTTGTAATTAAGGCCTCATTAATTACTAGTACCAAGTGATATTATATGTCATTAATGATGTGTAATTATTATACATCATTAATGACATATAATATCATTTGCTAAAAACACAGATCCTTGTGCTACCATCCCAGATCTACTGATTCAGAAACTTTGGGAGTGGGGCCCGTCTATTTTAACAAGTCCTCCTGATGGTACTGGTGCACACTCAGATTTGAGAAACACTGATCTAAAGCTTTGTCACCAAAACCATATGGCCATTTCACAGTGACATTAATTGGAGAATTTTAGGAATTAGGGAGGGTGTAGTATTTTGCAGAGAAATAGATGGTAGAAATTATTACTTCTGGTTGATAGTTATACTTTTCCTCAACTCTGCCCTTGAAAATCATTAACCTGTACTGGCAAGAAAAGAAATACAACAGATAATGTTCAGGAAGCATTAACCATAAGTCAAGTTGTAGAGGTTAGCGGATTCATAATTCCTCGCAACCAGTTCCACAGAAGAATTAAGCCATATGCCCTAAGACATCTATTGTAGAATGAATTACCTTATCACCTCTACATTATGTACTAGGTAGGTATTATTTGTCAGAGAATTGAGAACATTGTCGCTCAAAGCATTATCTATGGGGCTTAATTCTCGCCTGGAACCCTGTTGAGAAAGGCTGTCCTAGACCGTATATATCACCAGCCTCCTTTTTGTTCTGCCTCAGTTCTTTTGAAGGCAGTTTTTTGTATTGCAGAAATGTTCTCTGTATTATAGTAGCAAGAACCACTTCTTTGGGGTTAAAACCTCAAGACCTGTCCGTAGTTATCAGGAGTTATTCTAGCTTTTACTCTGCCATGTGAAACTGTGTGTTTCATTTTTGTTTTTTGTTGTCTTGCTGTTGTTTTTTGGTGTGGGAGGTTTGGAGAGTGATGAAAGATTAGAAGTCTTTTAAAAATTAGATAATTGGGGTAAAAACTCTAGACCTTGTAAAAGGACATATGAGAACTATTCAAGAACCATCTAATATAAATAACAGGGATATCAAAATGGATTAACATTGGCATTTTCCATCCTGAAAATGATTGGGGGATGGTTGATGTGAAATTACGCAGATATACCATAGAGTAAGAATTAGTGAAGTGCTTATATATATCTCCCCATGTTTTTTCAAGAATATTAGATTCTCCAAATATTAACCAAAAATGTTGAACATTAACTAACAACCTTCATAAACCAAAAATGTTCTGTACAAATGTTTATTTTCTCCCTGATATATAATTTGTTCTTAGAGAGTTAGAAAGCTCATGTCTGGAAACAAGCAAGGAGCATTGGTAATTTCTGTACCATTTAACATATTTTATTTTAACCTCTGAGAACTGAAGGAAAAATAGTATTTGATAGAATTATAATAAAGTCAGCCTGCTTGGCCCTGAATTCTTGGTTACTACAGTGAAGAATTAGTCTATCGCTTTGGAAGCATTTAATCACAATACTTAAATGCCAAGAGAATACTTAAGAGCTTTGCCCTGAGTACTTTTGGAATCATCCCAAGCAGCCTATCTTTATCAGGAGTATTGTGTTAAAGAAGAGAAGACAGAACTGATTAGGCTGCAGAGAGGAATCCTTTGTGTTCCTCTATGCTTTGTGTTCCTCTATGAATTGAGCAGCTCGGTGCAGTTGAGGTGGCCCAGCCTTTGGGGCTTGGTGGTCTATAGACTGTTTCACTTAAAACATAAGAATTGGAGAATTCTGGTTGCATTATCTAACTTCTTTACTGTAATAAATATTTAAGCATTTGAAAATTCATTTTTCCTTTTTGAAACCTCTTAACAAGAGCTGCTACTTTTTGATTGCAATGATAACATTTGTTCTTCATGGAAAATTAGCAAAAAACTGAACAGAAAACAACAGATCAACCATAACCCCCACTCAGAGATAACCACTATTAACATTTTGATTTATAGCCTTCCAGCCTCTCTCGTGTATAGACATGTATAGATATACTCACACGTTAAAAACAAAAATGGGGCTTCCCTGGTGACGCAGTGGTTGAGAGCCCGTCTGCCAATGCAAGGCACACGGGTTCGTGCCCCGGTCCAGGAAGATCCCACATGCCACAGAGCAGCTAGGCCGGTGAGCCATGGCCGCTGAGCCTGCGCATCCGGAGCCTGTGCTCCGCAATGGGAGAGGCCACAACAGTGAGAGGCCCACATACCCCAAAAATTAAATAAATAAATAAAATGGTACATATGTTGTTTTATAACTTGTGTTCACAGATAAATACTCTAATATTTCATCAGATAAAAGCCTTTTGATCTTGGTGGGACTGTGGTAGAAACAGCAACATGGTGCAAAGAGCCCATTCCCGTCACTGAGAATGAGCAGACCCAAGTTTTTTCTTATGACCTTGTGAGACGGGAGTTGTTATCACCTCATTATTATATTGGCTTTGCCACTAATAGTTTGCTTTGCTGTCTTGGACATGTCACATAATTCCTCTTAGTCAAGGTTCCTCATGTAAGAAAAAGATCATTAAACTAGGTAACTTCTTAAGGTTCAGCTTTAAATTGTCAGACTATGACAGATGGTAAGCACTTATGGGAAATATATTTTAGTTTCTCCTCACTAAAACATATTTTATTCTAAACACTTCTTTTCTGTATTACTGTGTCCTTCATTTTCTTTTCCCCTTTCATCATGTGTGACTGGTACCTCACAGCATTTTATTACATCCTTAATTTACTGGTTTGACTTCAGATTAAATTTGCCACTTCATCTCCAACTCTTATCTGTTGTATAATATAAGCCATGGCATGTATTTTTTAAATTAGTTGTATAAAAACTGTTTTTAACTGAGTCTCCAGGATTGCTGGTTCTTGCTTTGAGTGTTAACCCTGGATCAGTAGTTTCCATCCCTAGCTTCACGTCAGAACATCTGGCATATTTTACGTACTACCTGTGCCCTGGACTTCCTCCAAATGAATTAAATTAGAATCTGGAGTTGAGACCCACTGCCCTGCATTACATTTGTTTTTGCAACCATTGGCTAGTTTTCTGTAGTTTAGAGTGTAGATATATTGACTTGATTTTTTTCCCTTGTATTATTGAGACAAGCAGTAGAAGAGACCACACACTGTTAGTATCTGCCTTAATTTTTAATCCTTTGTTCCTGCTATGCTACCAAGTTAAACTGTGAAGATTCCTGGCCCAAAAGCCTATTTCCCTTATCCCTGAGGTTAAATTATAGTTTAATTTATACTAATAAGTAAAAATTCTCTACTTGTAAATAAAAATTCTTTGGGAGTAAAAATGTTTCTTTCTAGTGTTTTTGTTGTTGTTGTTTTTAGTTTTCTTATTTTCAATTTAAAACTTTTTCAGCTATCTCCTAACACTATCAACCCAACACTTTGTTTTACTTTTAACTAGAAGTAAGACTATCATTAATAATTAAGCTTTGGGTAATTCCCAGTTTCATATTTTTTAATTTTTATTTTTTTTATATTTATTTATTTATTTATTTTGGTTGCGCCGGGTCTTAGTTGCAGCAGGCAGGCTCCTTAGTTGCGGCTCATGGGCTCCTTAGTTATGTCACATGTGCTCCTTAGTTGTGGCCAGCGGGCTCCTTAGTTGTGCATGCACATGGGATCTAGTTCCCTGACCAGGGATTGAACCTGCGTCCCCTACATTGGAAGGCAGATTCTTAACCACTGCGCCACCAGGCAAGTCCCAATTCCCAGTTTCATTTTAAGCAGTGGTGCTAAGAAGAAAAATTAAAAGCTCAGATTAAAGTAAAACCTATCTAATGGTGTCTTTTGAGCAACCTTAAGTGTTAAGATGGGACTAAAGAAGTATAGATGACTTAAATCATAGTTTCTGCTGCCAACTCAGTGCATTATTTACAGAGAATTTTAAATCAGGGCTGTTTCATACATACCAGTTGTGTTTAAAGAGTATAGATGTAAATAGTTACATGATACTTAGCAGTTTACTAAATACTACTTAGTAGATTATCATATTTGAACCTCCTAATGACCTTGTGAGAGGTTATCAGCTTCATATTATAAATGTGGAATCTGAATCTCAGAATGGGTAAGTGACTTGTTCAAGCTCACTCAAATATGGGAATTCAGCTTTTCTGCTTCAAACCTCTGATTTTTCACACTTCAAGGCAAACTAATTTTAAAAGCAGTCTAAGTCAAACACAAGTCTGTTTCATGTAATGCACTCCAAAGTCAAAAGATCCCTCTTTTATTATGCATCATTACCTTAAAAAGGTATTGCTTATTGTGATTGTGGAATCATTAGGATCATATCTGTTCTTTTCTTTGGAGCTAAATTAGTCAAGTGCAGTTCCTGAATTTATGGAGTGCCAGAAATAATGGGTTTGAGTTATGCAAGGAATACTGTAGTATACAGTTTAGTTTATAGCAAAGGCCTACATATGATGAAGCTTATCATAAAGAAAAAGGATTTTTAATTAAGCTAAAAAGTGTTATGGTTCATAATAGAATTACAAGAAGTCCTACAAGTCCTATTCCTTGTTTATTGATATTAGCTCACATGACAGGTGATCATAGATGTTCAAGATAATCACAACAGAATTCTAATTAAATTCCTTTATACATAACTCCTCGTGAACTCGCCCCTCAATAACTTTAATTTAGATTAGGATGTAAAACAATTGGTGGTTCAATTCATTCTCCAGTCCCACATTCTCTAGTGTGAGTGAACCAAAGTTCCAATCTTTTTTTTTAATTTATTTATTTATTTATTTATTTTTGGCTGCATTGGGTCTTCGATGCTGCGCTCGGGCTTCCTCTAGTTGTGGCGAGCAGGGGCTACTCTTCACTGTGGTACACAGGCTTCTCACTGCGGTGGCTTCTCTTGTTGCAGAGCATGGGCTCTAGGCGCACGGGCTTTAGTAGTTGTGGCGCACGGGCTTAGTTGCTCTGCGGCATGTGGGATCTTCCTGGACCAGAGCTCGAACCCATGTACCCTGCATTGGCAGGTGCATTCTTAACCACTGCGTTACCAGGGAAGTCCCCAAAGTTCCAGTCTTACCAAGGGAAGAGGAGACAGTCAGGAGGTAGCTGCCTTGTGATCATTTGATACTTTCTTAATTTATTGTATGATGTACATTTTGTTTGTAGTAATTGGTCTATTTCCTGAGTGTCTAACACATGAAATATTTCTTTCCCTTTTCTTTTTTCACCTATTTTTTTATTCTGAATGGCTTTTTGTAAAAGCCCGGGCTGTTTGTTGTGTTGTTATCTTTCAATTCTTATGACTGTTTAAAACTTTGTGTTATTTCTATATCCTATAAACTGTTGTTTTTAACTATCTTAGTTCTAGGCACAGACAGGGTGGAGCAGATGACCAAAACTTACAATGACATCGACATGGTTACACATCTCCTGGCAGAGGTAGGAATATGTCTTTTTTTTCTCCAGTACAAAAAGCTAAAACTTAAAGATCATTTAGAATCTATCAAATTTGCATATCAATGAAAAATGATGATGTCTTTGCTCTAGGTTGTTCTGTGTAAGGTTGTTACAGATAGAACAACTGGCATACCAACTGGCATTCCAAAGAAGATGGCTCCTGAAGTTTATTGTTATGAAATTGTAGAGGGCTTAATTTTTTGTTGTTGTGTTATAATGGTGCTGGCTGGCTTCTCTGTCCTAGAAAAGCAATCTTAAAAAAAAAATTTTTTAAAGTAAATCCTTGGTGTCACTCACCCTGAAAACAGAGCTGCCCATTCAAGAAGCAGCTCCATTGCAAATCAACACCAATAGTTTGAAGCATCTTCCCTTTTCTACTTTTATTCAGGCTATTATTTGAGCTCACTTTGTCCATGACATTTTTAGTGTGTATAGTATATCTCTTCGAAGTGGCGGTCAAGAGGTCTCTCCCTATGCTTCAATTTCAGTTGATCTGATGGAAATTTCAGTCTTTCTCTTTGAAGTACCCTTCTCCCCATATGCCCCCCTAACCCCCAGCAGCTCCCCAGAATGATTTTGTGTATGCCACTTAGCCTATGTTGAAAATGAGGTAAGTGGGCCTTGAAAATTTGGAGATAATCCACCCACCTGTTTTCATGTTGCTGTGGACCAAAAAAATAGAAGCATAATTTTATTTACAGTGATTAATGTAAGTGGAACCCATTCTCATATACTATAAGGCACTCAGATGTATATTGATATTTTTCCACCTTACAGAATACAGTCCTCACCACCACCATGTCGAGGATTCCTATGCCTTGCTAAGTATCACCATCTACCCAGAAAGAGTAACTCTTGCCTTGCTTGACTTTTCTGTAGGCTTCCCTGCATCATTACCACCAATTTCTTCAGACTGCCTTCTTTTCTACACTCTAAGAAGAACCCTGTAGCCTCAAAATGTCCAGTCTATTATATCCCCTATTTTATTTCACATCATGATTCTTATACCAGTTGACAATAGGGCTCTTGATTATGCTTTCCTCTAAGTCTCTGGCTCTGAATGCTTATAAGCTTTGCCCTAATTGGAACTGTATTCAACCTGCCTACTGTATCATTACCATGCTTAATAGACAAATGCATTCAACAAATATTTATTTGGCTTTTACTATGTGTCAGGCCCTGTCCCCATTTTTAAAGACTATATTGATTTTGTAAGTCCCTAAAGTCATAAGTTGAAAAGTTGGGTTGCTCTATCCTAATTAATGGGGTGATCAGTAAACCTCACTTGATATCAAGAAATGCCCTCTTTCATTTATAACTATGGTGGTCATCCATTTGACTAATGTATACTAAACATCATTTGCGTGTCAGGCCCTGTATTCATTTGTAATATCTGGGCATTAAAATGGATCTTGATGCTTTCTAGGACATTGCTTTTGAGTTTAGCAAAAATGACTGCAGAATTTTAAACTACCACTTAATTTTGTTTGTACTCAAAAGATGTGTTTGGTATTTTAACAGAGGGATCGTGATCTGGAGCTAGCTGCTCGAATTGGACAAGCTCTCTTAAAGCGGAACCATGCCTTGTCTGAGCACAATGAAGCCCTCGAGGAGCAACTGGGACAAGCCTTTGATCAAGTAAGTCTTGGATCAAGTATTTGCAGCATGAAGCAATTAGGTCTTGGGAAATGGAGAATTTATTTTCCTGGGTGTCCCTGAAGTGATGACAATAGTATCCATTAAACTAACCAGTAGAGAAATGAAGTGTTATTGTACAGAGGAGTACTCATGTGACTTTACCTTAGTCTATTTAAAAGCTTGTATTCAGTACCTACAGTACTTGTGGCATCCTGCTTAGATTCTAACACTTTGTCCTTACTCCTTCCTATAGACTTTTTGTGTGATCTTATCTTAAATTTATTTTTTAAAAATGTACCCCCAAATAATAGATACCCAAAGGAAGTATCTTTATTCAGAAACCCAAACAAAAGGAGAAAAGAAAAGGAAAAGAAATTTTTGAAACTATATTTATCCCATAGCAATAAATATTTTTAGTGAGAACTGATTTATTATTAATTTGAATGGTTACATTTTAAATCTTCCATAATTTGTTATTATCTGGTTTCATTTATATTTTATAAATCAGCATATTTAATAACATTCAAGTCTTTGTGTTAAAAGTACTTATTCCCTAGAACTAAAGTTGGGAAGTCATGTATAGTTATGCAGCTTAAAAAATACAAACCTTTAGGATGAGAATTTGAAGTAAGGTTCTATTCTGATATTTTGAAGTTTCTTCCATTTTGTTTTGTTTTGAACTGTGAATGTATCATCTTATGTGAAATTTTCCTCCTATATTCCCATTATATAGAATATGGAAATTGGCTTTTCTTTTCACTTAGTATAGAAAAAGCTGTATTTGTTGAGTTAATGCTCTAAAATTATAGCTTAGGAAGTATCTGAGGTTTGTTACTCTCTTTGTAGCCCTTGTTACTTTAGTCAGTAAAACCTAACAGCTGATTTTATGACTTTGTTGTATGGTGAGAAACAATTGCTCCGTGGATTAGAAGCTATATTACTTGTAAATAATGCAAAATAAAGACCATCTTGTAAATAAAACCCTTTTGATGTACAGGTTAATCAACTGCAGCATGAGCTGTCCAAGAAAGATGAGTTACTTCGAGTTGTCTCCATTGCTTCTGAAGAGAGTGAAACTGATTCCAGCTGCTCTACACCTCTTCGCTTCAATGAGTCCTTTAGCTTATCTCAAGGTTTGCTGCAGTTGGACATGCTGCAAGAAAAGCTCAAGGAACTGGAAGAAGAGAATATGGTTCTTCGATCCAAGGTACAGTCAACTTAATTCTCACTCTCCTTTACCTTAAAGGCTATAAGGTTTAGGTCCAGGTAGTATTGAGGTGAAATATGGCATAACTAATGACTTGCTATTGACGTTCCAGTGGGGGGGGGGGGCGGTGACAGCCAAGGCACAGGTGCTTGCCCTCCATTGTTACTTAGATCCCACTGAAAAGTGGATAATAGCAAGCTGACAGGTGGAATAGAGAAAGGCACAGCATAGAATATATAGCTTGTGGAGTTTACACAAATAACTAAATAATTACAACTAAGTTAAGAACTATATTGGAAAACTACAGTGTTTCATGAGCTTATATAATGGGGGGTTGGGGAATGGATCAAAGAAGTCCTACTTAAACATGTGACATTTTAGCTGAGGCTAAGGGTTAGCCTATCAGAGATATATGTAGTGGAGGGGAGGGGTTGGGGTGGGGATGAGTAGACATGTGCAAAGGCCCTGAGAGGAATAAGGGGGAGATATTTGTCATGTCCTTTTCCATGGTCTTTATTTTATGATAGATAAAGCTTTATGAGTTTTTGTTTTCCTTTGTAAGTGATGAACTTTTATCTTTAAATAAGTAGTAAAGATTTTTTTAGTTAATACTATAAAATCATTAGAAGATAATATCACATACTGATTTTTTTTTTTTCTTGAAGGCTTGTCACATAAAGACAGAAACGATTACCTATGAAGAGAAGGAACAACAGCTTGTCAGTGATTGTGTTAAAGAACTTCGTAAGTGTTAATGTATTCTGTTTTATAGCCTTTGGGCAGTTCTTTGGTAGGATATCACTAACTCAGAAATTAGGCCAATGGTTTCAACAGAAGCATCTCAAGAAACAATTTTAAATAATTGCTGAAAATCTTGGAATATCACATTGAGCCCACAACTCTAAATAAAGTACCATATGTACTTTTAAGAAGTATCTTTGTTTCAAATTGTCATCATCATTAAAGAAAGACCTGTATTTCTACCCATTATAGCGTGTTAGAATGAAAGTAACCAAAGCTCTTATTTTGTTGATGAGGAAATAGTCCTATAGAGAATATGATTTGCCAAAGTCAGAAAACTGATTAATAGCAAATCTAGGGCTTAAATGATGGTGTAAAACGTAACACTCAATGAGTATTTGTTAAATGCCAGCTCTGTGTCTATAAAGGAATATATTTTACTTTCTTGTATTGTTACCTAAAATTTTTAAAAGTAAATCAGTTGGAAAAAGATCAGCCTTACTAGAGAAAAAATTTTAATCTCTTTATAAATATTGATATATATAGCCTTTTATGTTGAAAGAGAAGGTATGATAACAACATATCAGATCATTTGAGCTGTGGGCTTCAGAATGTGGTACCTTGCACAGAATATTAGAGAACCAGAGTAATGTAAATTGAATCTTCTCCATCAACACTATCATTACCCACCTTTTACACTTTAAAAACAAAAAGCAATGACTTACCTAAGAGCTTATATTCTGGTCTCCTGTCTCCTTATTGCCATCCTTTGAATTGCTATAGACTTTCCATCGATTTAAAAATAGTTTTATATAACACTTAGAAATAGCTTTGCCACTTGGGTTTAGATGTCAAAATTTTTATATGAAACAAAGATTTATTTCCCCCATGGAATTCTAAAGCATGCAAGAATGCCGCATTGTAAGAACTGCTTTAGAGGCCCTACTCAGTTTGCTGGGTATCCCAGAAAGTCTCTCCTACAGAAGCATCTCAGTAGCTTTTACAGATTGTGACTGTTCCATTCTGGAAATATTCCTTTGTTAGATTTGTTAAGTTTGATTTTCATTTCTTTTGGGATCTTATTTACATTCCTGAAGAGTTTTCAAAGACATAAATGTCTTGGCCCTTGCAAAGATATATAATTCACCTATCTCTAAAAGATTGAGGCAGAATCTTTAGCTTGCTTGCCTTTACAAGTTATCTCTTTTTAGCTTCAGTGCCTCCTATTAAATTCCCAGCATTAGTCTATTTCAGAAGAATCTTTAATTTTCTCTATTGGGTTATCCGGGTTTATTATTTTAAATTATGTTAGAGAAAAAGCAATTCGCGATAGTCCAGTGCTTGTTACAAAACAGGATTTGGCCCACAGGCCATAGTTTACCAACCTCTGCCCTACATTTATATTAATTTTAAGTTTTTTATTTTGTTTTCCAGGTGAAACAAATGCTCAGATGTCCAGAATGACTGAAGAATTGTCTGGGAAGAGTGATGAACTGATTCGTTACCAAGAAGAGATTTCCTCTCTCTTGTCTCAGATTGTAGATCTTCAGCACAAACTTAAAGAAGTAGGTTCATTCATTCAACAGATGTTTGTTAAGCACTGACCTAGTACTATGCACTCTGCTAAGTGCTAGGTACATTAAGCAAAAGAAACATAGTCCCCACCATTTTACATTGCTTTAGTCTGATTGCTGTTTTAGTCTTCTGTCTTGAAATATCATGAATAACTACTTTCAAATCACTATTTCTTTCCATAAAATGGATTTTCCTCAGAAAGTTGTGATATGAACTACTGATTCATGCTCATCGTCCTCTGAACACCTTGATGAATTTTGTATTCTGCCCATTTTATTGCACTTATTTGGCTTTTGAAAGGTTACCTTTTGATAATCCTCTGGACTATACACCTGAAATACGTCTTAAGATGTCTTAAAGAGAGTAACCTGTATTTTATATGGGAAGGCTTCACATGTCTCTTTTAATATGTTGTTAGCATGTGATTGAGAAGGAAGAGCTGAGACTTCACCTCCAAGCTTCCAAAGATGCCCAAAGACAACTGACGATGGAGGTAATGAAATCTTCCTTTATCTTGTGCTATATGGGAGGGGAGGAATGAATAGTTCCTTTTTTCTTTGTGAATAAGAATGGCTAAAGGTGATAAACAGATTTAAAACAACAACAGAAGATGAAGCTGAAAATTATGAGATCTAAGAAGTAAAGCTTTTTAAAGATTCTGTCTCTAAAATAATAGTAACAAGGCAACATCCTTCTTGATTAATAGGAAAATCTTGAGTTTATAAGATTCTTTAGGAATATATTACCCTTTTACAGGTCTATATTAACTAACCCAACAGTTTTTAAAATAAGATAATCTGCATTTTTTAATAAGCACCCCTAGCCCTATTGATGCTGATGATCTAGCCCACATAACACACTTGAAGAAATTTTTGAAGTTAAAATGTTCTCTGAAAATTATGTACTCTTTTAACATGCTTGTGTATCTAACTATAAGAAAAATTTTGAAACAAGGGAGACGAAACTACTTGTTTAGGATGATTGAGCACCCTGACATCTTATTAAATACTTTGTAGACTTGATCTTGTCATTTACAGACTTCATAGTTCATTCATGTTCATTATGTTTAAAAATATACATATCTAATATTCCACTAAACTAACTTGACCATAGCTATTATACTTCCTCTAAGTTTTTTTTTTTAAGGATAGGAAGCATTAAATATTGAATTGACAGTTATGGTTGTCTCAGCTACATTTCACGTTTTTAGGAAATCATGCATATATATAATTCTGGCCAAGACACCCCTAAATCTGGCAGCTTGAAATATATATACTTTCCTTGCTTAGTCTGTTTCAGAGTCTTTGTCTTAAATTTAAATTCATAAAATTAGTCCTCTGGATAAAATTTAAATTTATCCCAATGGGATTTTTTCCCCATTGTCATTTTGAGAATATAATAAGGAACACTAATTGCCATCCTATCTTTCAGCTGCATGAGTTACAAGACAGGAATATGGAGTGTCTGGGAATGTTACATGAATCGCAAGAAGAAATAAAGGAACTTCGGAATAGATCTGGCCCTGCTGCTCATCTCTACTTCGCCCAGCCATATGGAGTTTTTTCTGGGGTAAGGAACTGAGAAAGAAACTTGAGATTAGATGGTCCTGAGAATAATATGGTTTCTAATGGTGTAAAGCATCTTGAGAAGAGGTAACATGGTTTGTCCTTGTTGATTGAATTTAATTATTGATTTAGGCCTTCATTTGCATATCTGTATCTACCTTAATAGTCTTTATTTATTGTAGCCTTCCTTCTAACAGTTGACCTTCCAGATTTATTGTGTGAGATGAACCCTAAGGAAATTAAGTTTAGGTCTGTGTCCCATAGAGTTACTTAAACTTCAGTCATCCTCCTTACCCTAATCCCACCACATACCACTTATTCAAATAGTGCTCTGAACATTTAAAACCTCTTTTAACAGATCTTGAGTTTCTTGCTATATTTAACTTCAGTTAGAGTGTAAGTCCCATGAGAGCAGGAATCATATTGATTTGATTCCTCAATAAACAATCTTTTTTTTTGAAATAAAGAAATTAATGAAAACTTCTGGGTTTATGCCCGAATTTGTAATGTTGGTTCAAAGAGTTATTTTAATAATCTAGTTCTTAACACTTGCAATCCTGTGAATTTTTTTAAAAGACTGAAACTATAAATTATAATAGATTTTCTAGAGAATATTGGGACAGAATATTTTTTAATTTTTAATTTTGAGGTAATTTTAAACTTAGGATAACGTTCCAACAATAGTACAAAAAACTCATATATCCGTCATCTAGATTTCTCAAATTTAATATTTTACTACATTTGTCATATTGTTCTCTTATTTTTTCTGGACCATTTAACAGTAAGTTGCAGATAACCCTATTACCCCTTAATAATTCTGTGTGTATTTATTAAAAACAAGGATACTCTCAAGGACATTCTCCTACATGACAACATATAACCATCAACTTCTGGATATTGACATTGATACAATACTATCTCTGTCTCATCCACAGAACCATTTAAATTTTGCCAATTGTCCCAACAGTGTCCTTTGAAGAATACATTGCATTTGGTTGTTTCAATCGGGGACAGTTCTTCTGTCTTTGTTTTGTCCTTCATGACCTTTGTAGAATGTCCTCAGTTTGGGTTTGTCTGTTGTTTCCCCACAATTAGATTTAGGTAATGCCATGTTCTTCTCAGAACATTGTATTACAAGGCACACATTGTCTCTTTTTCCCATTGCTGATGATATTAATTAACTTTGATCGCTTGGTTAAGGTAGTATCTGCCAGTTTTTTCCATTGTAAGGTTAATCATTGTTAATAGTTAATTGAATTAATGTTACTAAATTAACTTTGTATTGATGAAAATTGTCAGATACTACCTTAACCAAGTGATCAAAATTACTATTTTGGGGGTGATACTTTGAGACTGTTTAAATATTCTGTTCCTCATCAAGCCTTTACCCACTAGTTTTAGCACCCATTGATGGGGATGTATCTGACTCAGTTATTACTATGATAATTGCCAATGGTGACTTTTTAATTCCATCATTTTTTCAACTTTTTTTAATTGGCATTCTTTTATAAGTTAGAGCTTTTCTGTGTCATTTATTTATTCATTTGTTCATTTGGTTATGTCAGTATAGACTCAGGGATTCCTATTATAATCAGTGGATTATAATCCATTATTACTGTTTTTTATTTTGATACTTAAATTGTCTAAGATATGACCAGTGGGATCTCCTTCAAGCTTCTCTTGCCCTTTCCCTGGCCCAGTCCTGGGATCAGCCATTCTCCAAGGAGCTCTGGTTATTTTTAATGAGAAATGATATTTAGAATCCAAAATCTGGGTGCTAGGTATCCAATGCCACTAGAGTACCATTGCTTTGAGGTCCCCTCAACAGATAGAGCTAGGAAATATGTGTAGGTTCATATACACCCACATAAACACATCTATATCTGTCTTTACATTCATACCTATGTTTATATGTATATTTAAAATAATGAGTTCACACCAGTACCTCCAATTCTAGTCATTGTTAGCACAGCCCCACTGAGCATGACACCCATGCTAGTTGAATCTTCATCCCTGACCAGGGGAAGGGGAAGCTTACTTATTTTTCTTTTAACAATTTTTTATATTATAAAAGCTTTACATGTTTATTATAGAAAAGTTAGAAATTACAGAGAAGCAAAAAGAAATTGCTAAATACCATCAAATCGTGACCTCCACAGAATCACTATTAACATCTTGGTTTATAGCCTTTCAAACCTTTTATTTTTGTGTGTCTGCGTATGTAATACTTTTATTTATCATAATTGGTTTTTCCCACTGCTTTCTTGTAAAAATATATCATGAAAAAGTAGTTGGTTCTTGTTTAAAAGTTCCATTTCCAGAACGTCTCTTTTCCTCCCCTGCATTTTAGCCTGTGAATGTTTTCTTTTATTATAACACCGAAAGTATTGGATTCTGGAAACTCCGTTAAATAATTTAAAGATAGTTTATTTCTCCTAACAGGCTTCTTAGATAATAACTGTTAGTAACATCAAACTCTTTTTCTTAGGAATCTCTGGCGGCTGAGATTGAGGGGACCATGCGTAAGAAGTTGAGTTTGGATGAGGAATCTTCTCTCTTTAAACAAAAGTAAGTTCAGATCACATGTGTTGTTACTCAACCATTGGGATGGAAATTAAACAGAAGCCACAATCCATAGTGATTGGTATTATGGGATTCAGTAGTAAATCTGCTTACTATTCAGTTTTTTCCTCGTAGTGCTTGCATCTGTGAGAGCATTCTCTTGTTCTGAAATTTATTTTCTAATAATTTCTCCAAAACTTCAGATGCTCTTCAGGGTGGCTTTATTTTTAATTAACTACACTTACATGTCTCTTTTCTAAAGCATTCCAGTGGCAGGCAGTGGCAATAATGAACACTTCTCTTTTGACAGAGCCCAACAAAAACGGGTATTTGATACTGTCAAGGTTGCCAATGACACACGGGGCTGCTCTGTCCCATTCCCAGCTCTGCTACCCATTCCAGGCTCCAACCGTTCAAGTGTCATCATGACAGCAAAACCTTTTGAATCTGGTTTACAACAAACAGAGGACAAAACAATCCAGAAGAGTAACTTGGAGGAAGATCCAGGGTAAGAAACATAGATTCACACACTCAAATTCCAGCATTGCTCTGTGGTGTCCCAAGGAAGTTCTGGAACTGTCAGTTTTCATTCAGTAATGATTCCCTGTATCATTATTTGTTAGATCATTGGAGTGAAAAAGTTTAATTAAGTGTATTCAAAATGGAGTTTTCATTGAACTATAAAATTCTTTACTACTTTCGTCTCTGGTTTGGCAAAATTTGAGTCTAAATCTTTGTGTTCAAAGTCAAATTTGTTTGAATCTGTTTGGTCATTGGCAGTTATGCATAGCATTACATGACACTTTCTCATAACCCATGGTCCTAATTTCAGTTGCTTTGGTGCCATTAGGATAAGCAATAATCTGGAATACCTATTGAGGAAAACTAGGTTGCTCTTAATTTCCTATTTGTTTAAATTTAGATTTTTTTTCTGCTTTTTATTAATTCAGTTCATGGAATTTTGTATAACTATAAATTAAAGAGAATGGAAAGTCAGCTGAAAGTTTTTGGAAATTAGATGTTTGGCATCTGAGGGAAGTCTCTCTTAATGCAGAAACCCATTACCTTGGGTTTTCAATTGTATTGCCTGGTTTTAGGGGTAGATTCTATACACACAATAGCTTGATGTTTCAATACTACCTCATTGTACACAGTTACCTTAGGAAAAGATCTAACAAACAGATCTGTGTGAATTCACACATGGAATAACTAAGCTTGGCTTGCTACTCTTTCTTTTGGTATCAGTTGTAAGATAACCGCCAATTTTTTAAATGTTAATAAGTGAAAAACTGTGTATTGCAGAACTGTGAAAGTGCGGTATTTACAGATCTTGTTGGTTTCTTTTAAATGTTTGTAATATTCATAGAGGATTCTATGGCCTAAAGTAAATTTGTTCACATTTTAATATTTTTGAAATTGTTTATCTTTTGCAACTAATGACATGTCATAGTTTAATGGGTAGCATTTTTTTCTTTTTTAGTACATAAAATAATGGTACCTCTTGCCTTCAATGGTATTATAGATTCAGTGAAATATAATAATATTTAGTTTTTTGACTACCTAAACTGAATTTATAGATGGTCATTATCTGTAGGTTCATAAATTAAGTGAAACAGAAAAGTTAATAAATACAACATAATAAAGTATAGTTTTGCCTATCTGAAGTCACTTGAAATGATCTATAAAAACATTATATATATGGGCTTCCCTGGTGGCGTAGTGGTTAAGAAGCCACCTGCCAATGCAGGGGACACGGGTTCAAGCCCTGATCCGGGAAGATCCCACATGCCACGGAGCAACTAAGCCCATGCGCCATAACTACTGCGCCTGCACTCTAGAGCCCACATGCCACAACTACTGAAGCCCGTGCACCACAACGAAGAGTAGCCCCCGCTCGCCGCAACTAGAGAAAGCCTGCATGCAGCAACGAAGACCCAGTGCAGCCAAAAATAAATAAATTTATAAAATATAAAAATATTATATATCTATATTAGAGATTTGGGTTTGTTGTTACTATTTCTGTATTCCAGCTATCTAAGAAAAGATATGTGTTTTTAAGATCAATCTCTTGAACATTCACCATTGTGGAAAGGAGAGGTCTATGCTTTGCTTATGCCCCTCACAGATCTAGTCAGTGAATGTGTTTTTCCCATAGGAACGTCCAGAACGTCTGTCAACCAGGACACTCTGAAGAGAGCGATTTGGCTACAGCCCTGCATCGCCTGAGTCTGCGGCGACAGAACTACTTAAGTGAGAAGCAGTTCTTTGCTGAAGAATGGCAACGGAAGATCCAGGTTCTGGCTGGCCAGAAAGAAGGGGGAAGTGACTGTGGCATTCCCACAGAGAGCCTTGCCTCCCTCTGCACCGACCAGTCGGAGATCACAGACCTGAGCAGTGCCAGTTGCCTTCGAGGTTTTATGCCTGAAAAATTGCAAATTGTCAAGCCCCTTGAAGGTAATAAGTAAGGAAGGGCTGTTTCTAAGCCATGTTGTTTGTTGGCTTTGCCTTCCCCTGGAATTGAGATTTCTCTTGTAATTATAAGAACCCTGAGTGCAGAAGACGTCTTTATTATCCCTAAATCTTCATTGTTTGTGTGACCGTGCAGAACTTTGTGGAAAATGAATGAAGAGATTTGCATTCTCCAAGCCATCAGCTGTCAGTTCTCTTCTACTGATACTGTTTTTTTACTAATGTGAGGGAGGAAGAGTAATCTTTTCTTGTCCTTTGCTAAGGAATATCCTTGATAGCAGTTTTCATGGTAAGATAAACAGGATACGATAGATGAATAAAAATAATCTATATGTAATGCTTCATCTCTACCTTCCTTTTCAAAAAAAAGTTCTTTACCCAAAAAGTGTCAGTTACTTACAGATATGTGTGTCTGTATTTTTCTTTTGTTCAGTTCTGTTAATTTCAGGTCAGTTTCTATTCTCTCCTAAGAACTTGAATTCAAAACAGATCTCTTTGTTTTATGGAATATTGACAATATTCAAATGATCCTCTGCTAGTATCATGAAAGAGTCTGCATTAGACAAAATTTTGAGTCAGTAACCTATAAGGACCCCTCAAACTCAAAGGTGCTATAAGTTCGTTTTATTCATTAATAGTCAGTACAGGTATTTGTCAGAGTTGCCGTTTTTAGGATTATATGACTCTTAGTGACAATTAGACACTGCAGGTACTTGGGATGATCATTCACCAGTATTCGTAGACAGAAACCACGAGGATTGATCCTCCTTTTTTTATCATCTCCTTCGCTTTCCTACTCTCCCCAAGAGCCTGGTGAAAGGAGAGTCATGAGCACATATGAGTCTTGAGAAATATACAAGAAAAACCATGGTAATTCAAGGTGCCTTCCAACCTAGGAGCCTGGCTTTTGAGTTCAAAGTTCATAGGCATAGTTCCAGGACAAAGGAGTATTAATTTTTGTCACCTGGGAAAATACAACCCGACGTGATACGTATCTCCTTTCTCATCACTGCCTCAGCATCCTAGTTCCTATTAAGGGTGTTGTCTTGGTTTTTTCACCCCTGCTTTAGATTTCCTTTTTAAAGTTAACTTTTGAAACGAACAGATTATTATTCATACCTTTATCATCTTGTTAATCTTCCACAGATAACTTTAATTCACAAATTTTACCAAAATATTAAGACCAAATAAGTAGTTTTATTATTATCATTACTTTTTTACACATACAGTTTTAGCTTCTTTCAAGAGTTAATATTTGTGGGAAATTTAAAACATGTTCCTTTTTTTGGTTTGCATACTCAGGTTCACAAACTCTGCACCAATGGCAGCAGCTTGCTCAACCAAATTTAGGAACCATTCTTGACCCACGACCAGGTGTCATCACTAAAGGCTTTACCCAGTTGCCCAAGGATGCCATCTATCACCTCTCAGATTTAGAAGAAGATGAAGAGGAAGGTATCACTTTTCAGGTTCAGCAACCTCTTCAAGTGGAACAGAAATCATCAATATCCCAGCCAGTCACAGGAATTTTCTTGCCGCCCATGACTTCAGCTGGTGGTCCAGTTACAGGTGAGAAGAGTGCTTGGTTGAGTGTAGTCCAGTAAACAGTAGTACTTTGCTTTCTGCATAACTGTGTGGTCAGCTGACTGCCTCTATATAAATCTTACTGGAGTGTACTCAGTCTTGAATATAAGACAATAGAAATCTATAGCATAAGTGCCCCTTCTAATTCTCTCCACTTCTTAGCCAACCTGCATAAATAGATAGGCAGAGAGAGAGCAATTCAGCCAGAATTGCTCTCTGGCGGAGCAGCTGGGCCCATGAGCCATGGCTGCTGAGCCTGAGCATCTGGAGCCTGTGCTCCGCAACGGGAGAGACCACAACAGTGAGAGGCCCACGTACCGCAAAAAAAAAAAAAAAAAGCTAAAAATAGAACTACCATATGATTCCTGGGCATGTATTCGGAGAAAACCATAATTTAGAAAGATACATGCACCCCAGTGTTCATTGCAGCACTATTTACAATAGCCAAGACATGGAAGCAGCCTAAATGTCCATGAACAGATGAATGGATAAAGAAGATGTGGTACATATATACAATGGAATACTACTCAGCCATAAAAAAGAATGAAATAATGCCATTTGCAGCAACATGGTTGGACCTAGAGATTATTATACTAAGTGAAGTAAGCCAGACAGAGAAAGTCAAAAATCATATGTTATTGCTTATATGTGGAATCTTAAAAAAATTGATATAAATGAATTTATATACAAAACAGAGATAGACCCACAGACATAGAAAACAAACTTATGGTTACCAAAGGGGTGAGGGGGGTGGGGAGGGATAAATTAGGAGTTTAATAATAAATTAATAATTTATTTAATAATAAATTAGGGATTAGCATATACACAATACTATGTATAAAATAGATAACCAACAAGGACCTACTGTATAGCACAGGGAACTATACTCAATATTTTGTAACAATACATAAGGGAAAAGAATATGAAAAAGAAAAAATATATATTTATTTATGTAACTGAACCACTTTGCTGTATACCTGAAACTAACAGAATATTGTAAATCAACTATACCTCAATAGAAAAATAAAATGAAATAAAAAGAATTTAAAGTTTAAAAAAAGAAAGGAAATACAGCCTCACACAGATACATGGTTGGAAAAGGGAAAGAGTATTTTAATAGCCTCTTCAGGTATTTGTGGATATTCTTTGATGTTACACCAAAACTTGATAAGTGGTAGTCTCTTTAAGGTTTGTAGCAATGTGAATCTAAAACCCCATCAGTGAATTTTTCATACTTCGTTACATTAAAATCTATTAGTCTGTCCTGCTCTTTGAATGCATCTTTTACCCATGCATGATTTTGTTAACATAATGCATTGGTCATTTGGAAAATATTGGTTCACTGAGTTATGCAGATCTTCCAAATGTTGACCCATTTCATTATAGAATATATTAAAATCGTATATATCACCACCTGTCTCATTGGGTAAGTCTTTTAGTATTAGGAAGCTTTCAAGCTCTCAGCGATGGATACAAATCTACCAAAACACTTATTTTCACTTGAAAGCTCAAATTTCGTCACTGGCAGCAAATCCTGTCAGCTATTTTCTTGAAGAGACAGGCTCACTACATTCTTTTTCAAGAAAATGTTGCCAGATATCCAAGTCTGAATAACTGTAGTTTTTGTATTAATTGTTCTTTCAAGTAAAAATGGTGTTCTGTGAAAAAAATGTAAAAATTGCATATGTGCTTTTCCTCTAGATAACCATTGTATCTCTGTATAAAGCAGAGTGCTTAATGCTTCCCATTTCATCACACAAAATATTAAAAAGTTTCAAGGGTCAAGATTTTTTTTTTAATTAATTAATTTATTTATTTTTGGCTGCTCTGGGTCTTCATTGCTGCACGCAAGCTTCCTCTAGTTGCAGCGAGCAGGGGCTACTCTTCATTGCGGTGTGCAGACTTCTCATTGCAGTGGCTTCTCTTATTGTGGAGCATGGGCTCTAGGCATGCGGGCTTCAGTAGTTGTGGCATGTAGGCTCAGTAGTTGTGGCTTACGAGCTCTAGAGCACAGGCTCAATAGTTGCGGCACACGGGCTTAGTTGCTCCGCGGCATGTGGGACCTTCCCGGACCAGGGCTCGAACCCGTGTTCCCTGCCTTGGCAGGCGGATTCTTAACCACTGTGCCACCAGGGAAGTCCAAGGGTCAAGATTTTTTTTTATATATAAATTTATTTTATTTTTATTTATTTATTATTTTTGGCTGTGTTGGGTCTTCGTTGCTGTGCATGGGCTTTCTCTAGTTGTGGCGAGCCGGGGCTACTCTTCATTGCGGCGAGCCGGGGCTATTCTTCATTGCAGTGTGTGGGCTTCTCATTGCGGTGGCTTCTCTTGTTGCGGAGCATGGGCTCTAGAGCGCATGGGCTTCAGTAGATGAGGCGCATGAGCTCAGTAGTTGTGGCTCGTGGGCTCTAGAACACAGGCTCAGTAGTTGTGGCGCACGGACTTAGTTGCTCCATGGCTTGTGGGATCTTCCCGGATCAGGGCTTGAACCCATGTCCCCTGCATTGGCAGGCGGATTCTTAACTACTGCACCACTAGGGAAGCCCCTGGCAGGCGGATTCTTAACCACTGCGCCACCAGGGAAGTCCCCCAAGGGTCAAGATTTAATAAATAATTTTTACTGCTTCATCAGGACATTCTGATATGAATTTCTACTGTAATTGGACAATAGTGATGAATACTCGTAGAGCTTGGTGCCATTGCCTTGATTTGTGCTACGGAGCCAGCAGCTTTACCCACTATTATTTCTGCACCAGCAGTGCAAGTGCCAACCCAGTCAAAATGGCAGATAGCATCTTAACATTGCTATGAAAGTAGTTTTGACCCGTAGACTCACACAAGGTGCAAACAACACTTCGAGAACCACTGGAGTAGACAGTTTGGCTAGAAAGATTGGACGACTAGTTCTTGGTTTGGTATTTTTTTCTAATGTATTTTTTCAGAATGTGTTTTTCTCTTGTTTCTAAGCTATATTAAATCCTTTTGAATTACAGTTTCAAATTATTGGAAGGATTCAGCTACATACTAACTAGTGGATACTAATATAATATGTAGGGCTTCGCTGGTGGCACAGTGGTTAAGAATCCGCCTGCCAATGCAGGGGACACAGGTTCCAGCCCTGGTCCGGGAAGATCCCACATGCTGGGGAGCAACTAAGCCCGTGCGCTACAACTACTGAGCCTGCGCTCTAGAGCCTGCGAGCCACAACTGCTGAGCCTGTGCTCTAGAGCCCGTGAGCCACAACTACTGAGCCTACATGCCACAACTACTGAAGCCCACGTGCCTAGAAGCCCTTCTCCACAACAGGAGAAGCCACCGCAATGAGAAGCCCGCACACCACAACGAAGAGTAGCCCCTACTCGCCACAACTAGAGAAAGCCCACACGCAGCAACGAAGACCCAACGCAGCCAAAAATAAATAAATAAATAAATTCATGGGGAAAAAATGAAATATGTATATTTCATTTCTAGATTTGGGAATTTTTGTATAAAAGACACCAGACAAATGCTGTATTATTAATAGTAATGACGAACTTTTTACATTATTAACCTAGTCTTTCAATTTTGTGTTTGATTCCCTAAAACTGTCTACTTCAGCTGCAACCTCAAACCCAGGAAAGTGTCTCTCCTGCACAAACTCAACATTCACCTTCACCACCTGTAGAATATTACATCCTTCTGATATTACTCAGGTTACCCCCAGGTAAGAGGGGCTGGGCAATATGAGGCCTTACTTCTTTCCTCAACTCTGTTTTCTTGAATTTCTTTTTTAAATTACTGTCATTTTAATTCCCAGAATTTTAATTAATGTCCTGTGATAATTTGTTTTTAGAATATTTTCACATTGTATTTTCTCATTTGATCTTTATAACTCTTTGAAGTAGGCAAGCCAAGCGAGTATGTAGTGTCTAAATGAAGAAGATGAGGCGTAGAAAGTTCAGGTGACTGGTCCAAGGGCAGGCAGGTAGTAAATGACCCAGCTGAAACTATACCCAGAGTTAGCCAGACTGCAAGATTGGAGGGACTAGTCCTCTGCACAAGACTGCCCTCATTTCTGATATGACCTGCAAGTTCAGGGGCTTCCCAAAACCATGCTCTTGTTTGATAAATTTTCTAGAAGGACTCACAGAACTCACTGAAAGCTGTTATGCACGTGGTTACTGTTTATTACAGGGAAAGGTTACAGGATAAAATTAGCCAAAGGAAGAGACACATAAGTCAGAGTCTGGGAGGGTTCCACACATGAAACCTCCCTGTCCTGAGGAATCATTACTTTCCTGGTATCAGTGTTTGATAGTGCACACAGAGTATTGCCAACCAGGGAAGCTCACCCGAGCCTTAGTGTCCAGATTTTTTTTACTGAGGCTTCACTGTGTAAGGCATGATTGATTGATTACCTATATAGCCATAACTCACTATAACTCTAATAACTCACCTCCAGGTCCACTGACGCAAAGCTTCCACCCTAAATCACATGGTTAGTCTTCCTGGCATGGCCAGTCCCCATCCTACAGCTGTTGGGTGTGGCCAGGTCCACTCCAAGATCTAGTGTGGCCAGGCTCCATCCTGAACAAACACACTTCTAGCAGCCATGGCATAGATTACCTCCCAGAAGCTGAGGGCAAAGCCAGAACCCTCTGGGCAGTCCAAATTATTTACTACACAGATTAGAACAATAAGCAATATTGCTGAAATTTCTGTCCTACCAATTCCAAAAAGAATCTAGGGCAATTTCCAGAGATATGTAGAACTTTGCAGGATAATGTTAACTAGAAGTAGAGAAGAAAAATGAAGCAAAAAAGAATCAAGAGTAAGGATATAAAATGGATAGAGGAATACACCTAGTGTATAAATTGTACTATAAAGTCTTATATACTTGCTAAGTAAGGTGAGCCATGTATTTGAGTCTTAGCTTTTTAGCTGCCAGTGTAGAGGGAAATAACATTATGATTCACAATGTCTATAAGATAGAAGCAAATTGACTGTTCAGGGAAGCATTTGGGTGGATCCTATAAAGACCTCAATAAAGTCTACAGGCATACCTGCAATTTTTCTACATTGTTCTTGTAGTCAACAAGATAGCAGGTTTTATAAAATTGGTTCCTGAGGAGGCTCTCAATACAGGTTGATACCATCATTTGGTATGGTAGTGACATGAACAGTTTAGGAAAAGACAGGCAATTCTACAATAAAGTAGGACCAGGGAGGTGGGAGACTGGGAATACAGTAGACAGATTACATCAGAACCAAGGTGTCAAAGTTGTTTGCTTTAATACAAGTTGGTACTTTAGAAAGTTTATTTATTAATCCTAAATTTGCATCTTGTTCATAATCTTTATAAATCTTGATATCTAGATATTCTGAGTATTTTGTGTTAAAGTGAAAGTTTATGTATTAAATGCTGGTAACATTTGCTCAAGGGGGAATAATTTGCTAAAGAAGTACCCTCTTCATTCTATCACCATTTCCTTGAGTACATGATTGTTTATTTAGTTTTTTTTCTTTTTAACAAAACATAGAATAAGAAGAAAGATTCTAATAGCTGTCAAAGCTTTTAATTATTTTTAATTTCCCAGAAACCCATGCTTTAAGTCAAGATTGAGAAAAATTCGTTCCATGGGTATCCTTATAGTACTATTCTTTGGAATTAACATTCTTGGAAATTTAACAATTAGAACTTTATTCTCAGTAATATAAAATTGACAGATTAAAAAGAAATGTGTCTCCTTAGAAAACCGTCTTCGGTTTAATTATGAAAGATTGTATTTTCTAAAAGGTTGAAGAATTGTTAAATCACGGATTATTGTCTCTTGGTGTATTTCACTTTATGGAATGGATATGTTAATAAAAATCTCTAAACTTTACTTTCTTCAATATTTAAATTTCTTTGATTTTTTAATTATAAAATTTAGTTGTATTTCCACAGATACATATTTTAGAGTTAAAATTTAAGAATAATAAAGTAATTATTTGAGAATAATAAAGTTATCTAAGTACAGTAAACTCATATTCTGTGAAAAGAAATACGTTTCAATAAGTTAATGACTAAATTACAAATAACTAATCATTGAAGTAACACATCAAAATTTTCATTCCTCACATACTGATGTGTTGCCTGTTCCTCTATATTTACTATGGATAACTACTGTAATTGCTTTAAATGCTGACTTGGGATTACTTTTTATTCTTAAATTCTCTCTCCTGCTTTTTTTTTTTTTCTTTCTGTGTAAAGCTCTGACTTCACTTCATTATCCTGTGGAAGTAGTGGTAGCAGTTCGTCAAACACAGCAGTGAATTCTCCTGCTGTGTCCTATAGGCTCAGCATTGGTGAATCCATCACCAACCGACGAGATTCCACCATAACCTTCAGCGGCACCATGAGCTTGGCTGAACTTCTACAAAAGCGAGGCATCTCTGCTAAAGCATACCACAGCCCAGTTTCAGAGGACCCCCTCCTCCAGCCTCTCCCTAGAGGCCTGGCTATCCCTTCCACGCCACCAAATTCACCGTCTCACTCACCTTGCCCTTCTCCTTTGCCCGTTGAGCCTCGAGTGCATCTCTCTGAAAATTTTTTGGCCTCCCGACCAGCTGAAACATTCCTCCAGGAGATGTATGGCTTGAGACCATCCCGAAACCCTCCTGATGTTGGCCAGTTGAAGATGAACTTAGTGGACAGGCTGAAAAGACTGGGGATAGCCAGAGTGGTCAAGACCCCTGCAGCCCAGGAAAATGGAAGAAGCCAAGAGGCAGAAAATGGTCTTGAAAGACCAAACTCTGCTGTCTATTTAAATTCAGGTAGCAATTTATTGAGTGGACTGAGGAGGAATCAGAGTCTTCCAGTCATTATGGGTAGCTTTGGCACCCCAGTTTGCACATCATCACCCAAAATGGATATCCTGAAGGAATACTGAGGTTCAGAAGTTGACTGACCTCTTACACAAGTTAGCACATGAAGGAAAGATTTGCACTGATACATGTAGTCTTGTCTGAGAGAAAAGGAATGTTGCAGAAGGGTTGTGAATGTGGGAAGGGGAAAGTGGAAGAACGGAAACAGAATTGGCATGAGGTCTGTCTGATAAATTGAAAGTATAAATGGATAGGTCATGAGTGTTTGGAAGCAGAGAAAGAAGAAATGTTTAATGTGGTCCTCCAGTTGGTATTTCTTGTCTTGAAAATAAAAAGTGACTAGAAAATAAATTCAGTAATATTGGAACATACCAGAAATACTGAACTTGCTAGCACATTTACTTCTGGTGAGCATAAGCAGGGAGGACCCAGGTTAGGAGATGGGAAAAAAGAAGGAGCAGCTTTGACCGTTACCTTTAGAAAGCTGTTCTAGAAGGTTGCTGGAGTAAACTCAGTCTGTTAGTGAGACAACAGTGAGATGGCTTATCTGCTGGCCCCTGTTAATGTCTGGTTAAATTACACCTTCATCAAAGAGTACGCTCACTGCATTATCAGCAAGGAATTTTACCTTTTGCATAAGATCAGACTAGTGGAGACTCCCTTTCTGCTTTCTGTTTTCAGGCCTTTGAGCCACTGGGATCCCAAACATAATCCACATTCCTTTTGCATTTGTGATTAATAAGGGTTAATTTTTTTTTTTTTTTTTTTTTTTTTTTTTTTTTTTGCGGTTCACGGGCCTCTCACTGTTGTGGCCTCTCCTGTTGCAGAGCACAGGCTCCGGACGCGCAGGCTCAGTGGCCATGGCTCACGGTCCTAGCCGCTCCACAGCATGTGGGATCTTCCCGGACCCGGGCACGAACCCGTGCCCCTGCATCGGCAGGCGGACTCTCAACCACTGCACCACCAGGGAAACCCAAGGATTAATTTTTTTAATTTGTATTTTTATACAATACCCCCCCAAACAACATTAGTGGGGGGTAGGAGGGATTTACTTTAAGAAGGAAAATATGGGTACATTGGAACCAAGGAAACTTGTTTTCAGAATATTTCTTCTGAATAAGTGCATTGGCAAAGGTGTATGAACATAATTACTGTACATGTCTTTCAAATTTCCTTGGAGGCTGGATGGGTTAAACCAGAAGTGCAATCAATAGGAATTAGAGAATGTTGTGTATTTATCTTTGTAAGTTTTTTTGGAAGGAAAGTTGGTTGCAACTAAACTTTTTCCAAAATGTGCTATGCATACTTTTAATGAAAGATGACATATATTTGCACAAAAATTCTCAGGCACAGCAAATTATTATAAACTGAAGTAAAACCCAGGTGCTTTCTTTGAGATTGTGTTTTTTTAATATAAAATAAAATTAAAACATCTGCCCTTTTCTTCATACCCGCGGAAGTAGAGAATGAACTTTTTTCGATGGGAAAGTCAAATGCTTTTTCTTTCTCTCTGGGATTCCTTTTTTCTTTTTTTTAATTATGTGAAATGGCAAAGTGAAACTCCAGGATTATGTTTCAGCTTTCAGCAGTGTGACGCAAGGCTGTGAATTGGGAAAAAACAGATCTGTTTTCTGAGCATTGCTGACCAAGGTCTGCTTCTCATCAGATGACATGGCTTTATCTCGGCCATGCAGTTGAGAAAGAAATGCTGTTACATGAAAGGCATTATGGAGAGAAGATGAAGGAGGGGGCTAGTTCTTTTTGAAAATGGGAGGCATGTTACTTGATCTTTTCATTGCTTCATTAGCAAATGTTTTGCTCCTAAGTTCTGACTTAAACTGAAAGGCAATTTTCTGCAGAATTCTTGATGGGCGTGTTACTCCTGTGGCTCCCATCCATACACCTGTTACAGGCCAGAGGAGGGTCCTTCTCTCCTCTTGATCTGCCTCTCCTTCAGGAAGAGCTATGTGCTCAAAACACACATGCAAGAGTAAAATGTGTGAGTTTTCCATGATTTTTAGAATCTTTTAACTTCTTAAAAACAAAAAGAGTGACCTCTTCCCATTCTCTCCCCCTTGCTCAGTCATTCTGAAATCAGCAGACCATACACAGAGATGTTCAGAAAGGATTCTAGCTGGTCTGTAAGTGAACGCACATGTCCCTGAATGTGGACCAGAAGAATTCCTGATGTTTAAATTTCTAGAATATTCCAGTTCACATTTTAAATGATATTTGAGTTGCTACTTCATAAAGTAACGCTGGGATGCTTATTTTAGACAATTCTTTAAGCTTTTTATTTATTCTCTAAGAAAGTAATCTTCCTGTTACCAGTTTCCAAGAGACATCAGGAAGTAGGAAAATATAGGACCAGAGAGTAGTACAAAGTGTTAAATTATCAGATTTTATGTATATTATATAAACAGCTATAAAAATTAAGCTAGATGTTGGAGTGTTCTGTATAGTTAGTATACTTTTAAAATAACCGAGGCTAAAATGGTCACTTTGGAGGTAGGGCAAGGGTGTGTTCACAGCCAAATAAGCCTGTCTGATTAAAGAGAACCAGACTTTGGTTTTTGAAAATTAAATTGATGTTGCTGTTCCACCAGAAACACAATGATTGGAAACTGGTGCATGCTCGTCTCTAGAAATGAATCCTGTTTTGAAACTGGGTTTTGTTGTATTTGAAATTTCCACCTAAAATCATTTTTGGTTGAGAATGAGAATCTCTATTATAATGAAATTGTGTGTAAAATATAGTAAGAACTGGAGCCTTGTAGCAAGTTCCTTCTTAATTTATCTGTTATGTTTTAGCACTGTTCACATTTTAGTTTTTCTTTATCAACTGTGTATGTACTTTAATGCCAGTATAGGGAACTCTGATTCTTTTTTTTCCTTCTGAAGGGTCTCAGTGATTATACCTCAGGTATTTCTGAGTATCCTATTATCTACTAGGAGGGATACCTTCCCTGTGAACTCAGAATTAAAATTTCTTCTGAATTATGATGATCCCAGATCTTATGTACATAGCCTTAGGCATGGGTCTTGGAAAAAAGTTAATGACTATTGTTAAAGTAGTTTTTAAAAAAATTTTGTACTATATGTCCTTGATTTGACCTGAATGAACAGACTTTGGCAAAGGGAGGAAATAAGTTAAAGGCAGCTCACAACAAGAGCCTGTTCTCTACAAAAGGTGTATTTTATACAGTATTGAAAGCCTGTTATTTTTTCTGACCATTCTGGTACACAGTTAGTACTTGTTGGTAATAACATTGACTTTTGACACCTGGAACTAGAACTCTTAGTGTTTAGTAGCCCACTCCTTTGATGTCGGATGCCTGCAAGCCTGTACTCCAAGTACAACACAGCAACATGTACACTGAGTGGTTGCATAGCCAGCACAGCTACCTGGGAGTGGCATGGTGCCCTCTGGGGCTGCCAGGGAGATACTGTAGTTTGATATCTGGGGCTTGACTTTGTCAAAGAGCTCTTTGTGCACCTACCTTTGCTTTGTCAAATGTTAATCAGATAATAAACATGAGTATCTTCTTAAATTTTCATTTGTCTTTCTGTGTTTTTGTCCCAGTTCTTTTCACAGGTAATCCTGCATTAAGTCTTTCCTTTCCATTATGTTGTTTTTGGTACAGAAAACAACTCTATTTGTCAAAACAGCAGAAAAAACAAAACAACAATAGTCATGAGTAGTAAACATCTTATTCTATTTTCTTAGATTTTAAAAAATAGAATAGCCTTATTGTTTCCTCAGCAAAGTATCAGCAACAAAAAAATAAAATCTAAAGTCAATGCAGATCTTTAATTTGAAAAGACTCAGGAAGTATGAAGCGATTCATTACTTATAGTCCACAATTTACTATTGATACTCTTAGCTATTACAAAACTGTTGCCAAGAAATTAAATTTGAGAATTGTTGGATTCTAACAGAAAAGTTCTTTGATGTTCTCTTTTCTCTCTCACAATTTAATTGGTGTATTTATTTTAAACTCATCTAATATCCATTTAGAAATATGGAGATTGGTTCCAGATAGCGGAATAGAAGGACATGCACTCGCTCTTGCAAGAGCACCGGAATTGCAACTAACTGCTGAATGATCATTGGCAGGAAGACACTGGAACTCCCCCAAAAAGATACCCCACATCCAAAGACAAAGGAGAAGCTGCAATGAGACAGTAGTAAGGGCACAATCACAAATCAAATCCCATAACCGCTGGGTGGGTGACTTACAAACTGGAGAACAATTACACCACAGAAGTCCACCCACTGGAGTGACAGGACTGGGGGAAACAGAGACTCCACTCTTGGAGGGCACACACAAAGTAGTGTGTGCATTAGGACCCAGGGAGAAGGAGCAGTGACCCCATAGGAGACTGAACCAGACCTACCTGCTAGTGTTGGAAGGTCTCCTACAGAGGTGGGGTTGGCTGTGACACCATGGGGTCAAGGACACTGGCAGCAGAAGTTCTGGGAAGTACTCCTTGGCATGAGCCCTCCCAGAGTCCACCATTAGCCCCCCCAAAGAGCCTGTAGCCTCCAGTGCTGGGTTGCCTCAGGCCAAACAACCAACAGGGAGAGAACTCAGCCCCACCCATCAGCAGACAAATGGATTAAAGTTTTGCTGAGCTCTGCCCACCAGAGCAACACCAAGCTCTACCCACCACCAGTCCCTCCCATCAGGAAACTTGCACAAGCCTCTTAGATAGCCTCATCCACCAGAGGGCAGACAGCAGAAGCAAGAACTACAATCCTGCAGCCTGTGAAACAAAAACCACATTCACAGAAAGATAGACAAAATGAAAAGGCAGAGGACTATGTACCAGATGAAGGAACAAGATAAAACCCCAGAAAAACAATTAAATGAAGTGGAGATAGGCAAGCTTCCAGAAAAAGAATTCAGAATATTGATAGTGAAGATGATCCAGGACCTCAGAAAAAGAATGGAGGCAAAGATCAAGAAGATGCAAGAAACGTTTAGCAAGGACCTAGAAGAATTAAAGAACAAGCAAACAGAGATGAACAATACAATAACTGAAGTGAAAAATACACTAGAAGGAATCAATAGCAGAATAACTGAGGCAGAAGAACGGATAAGTGACCTGGAAGACAGAATGGTGGAATTCACTGCCGCGGAAGAGAATAAAGAAAAAAGAATGAAAAGAAATGAAGACAGCCTAAGAGATCTCTGGGACAATATTAAACACACCAACATTTGCAATTAAACAAAATGATAAACCTTTAGCCAGACTCATCATGAAAAAGAGGGAGAGGACTCAAATCAATAAAATTAGAAATGAAAAAGGAGACAATACAATGGACACCACAGAAATACAAAGAGACTACTACAAGCAACTCTATGCCAATAAAATGGACAACATGAAAGAAATGGACAAATTCTTAGAAAGATATAACCTTCCAAGACTGAACCA